CCGCTCTTCCCCTCGCTCGCGCAATGCCTCTCTGCCGCTTTTAGTGTTTAGTCCTCGGCACTCGGCCGTCGCGGTAACGCCTTGGCTTTTCGCATCTTTTCTTCTATTCGACTAAATAGGAGGAACTTTCGCATCGGTGTCTGTCGTCCGTCTTTTCCAAATTCGTGGAACTTATAAAGTTGGCGTGTTTTCCTTGGTGCGCTCTTGGTGTTTCCTTCACGACTGTGGTACACGTTCCTGTCGACACCCTCGTGTTAGTGCTAGCAAAGGATAGGACGAGTACTCTGACGTACCACGCGCGACCAGTGTTGTATCTGCACTAGAAGAGTGACTGTGCTGTGCGCGACCGTGTCGAGTGCTTTCTGCTTTCTCGCAATGTATGTGTGTTCATCGGCCTGCCTCGTTATACGTACGTATATATATATATTTCTCTCTATATACTGTATAGAAAGAGAGAGGGAAAGAGGAAAACGGACAAAGTTTCTGTCCCTGTTTCTTCTCTCGCTTATTTCCTCTAACGTTTATCGGGCAGCAGGAAGTACTACGAGCAGGCTGTAGTGTTGACGAGAGGAAACCTGCGCAAGACAGGATGTAAAAGCGAGGTGAATTTCAGGACGATGGCATGATGGATCATGACACTGACGGTGACGGCGCGATCAACCTGTCCACCTCTCAACGACCGTCAGCTTCCTCGACACCAAACGGCGACGCATCGGCCTACAGCCAGGATCACCAGGAGAACGATCAGGTATGCTGGATTTCGGGTTCTACCGAAAATCCTTTTTTCTTTAAGCATTTCTTTTCTTTCTTGTCTTTCCTTACAACGGTAGTGTTTCGAAATGTCCCTTGGCCCCGACGGAAGCGGGTCAGTTCCAATCGAAATCGAAATCGGAATATCCACCGTCCGGGGATGGGGTGTATATATATATATATATATATGTATGTTGTATAGTTCGGGAAACACGTAAGCCGATAAAGCCTGGTACGCTAAAGCCGAAGAGATCCTAGAAGCGGGCGGTTCACGAGGTTCTTGGGAAAAAGAGGTGGTAGAGGGAGGGAGGTCCAGACCCGGGTGGGACGATCGTACAGGATTTCATTCCATTGCCGGATATTCACGTGGCCCGTTTGACACCAGCCGCCATAAAATCGAGGCCCTGATTTTAAATTCAATTTAAAAGCCCAAGCGCTGTGGAACGCAATATACAAGCACCGTGACGTCATCGCAGAACTGAAGCCGAAGCCGACGCGCTGCGCCGCGTCGTCAGGAGAAACAAATGTTTTATGGTCCTTAAAGCACTGCCTTTTTCCACGACTCTTAGTCGCTTCCTCTCCGACATTCCTTGCTGTTGGCCTCGTGCTTTCAATTTATACAATCTGCAACGCCAAATGCTGCTGATGCGCCAATCGGTTTTCCAAAAGTTACATCACTATTTAGGAGTATCTCGGGGGTAGGTGGTCCGAGTTTCGTAGGATCTCCAAGGGCCGTCAGGCCACGTCCCACTGTTCCTACCCGACCCAGCTTCCTTCCAGTTGATCCTCCGATCGCCGAGGATAAATGCTCGAGCGTTGTCGCGCCGAGAGTGTGACTGCTCTCAGAGGCGCACACAGACTCGTGGACGCGCCCGCGCCGCGACCACGGAGGACAAAGACAAGTCGAGCGGGATCGAAACACGACGACATCGTTAGGCGACTGTTTATAATTTAAAGGGATGCCGAAAGTGAGGGAGGGTGTGCGCGCGTCCGTGCGTCCGTGACTGGCTGCTTGGCTATGTGTGCATTGGGAAAGGAGGGTTATTCGGGCGCGAGTGACGCGCGACTCTGCCAGGAGAAGAGGGTTGCTTCTCCTGCGGTTTCCAAGAGTCTCCGACCGTAAGTCCCGTGCGAGACTTTGGCACGATTAGCGTCGCGATAGCATTAGCTTGCCGAGGGAGCGAGTCTCTTCGAGATTGGCCGAGGAGGAGCCTGACAATCGGCAAGGGAATCGAATGACATGCCGAGGACGCCGAGGACTCCAAGGACGCCCAGCGGTATTAGGTTTGAGTGGATCAGCTTGCGCGAGACCTTCGTTAAAATGCAAAGGCGCGGGTGGCAGGGCGGCGTAAGGGTATTTCCCTATTAGCGTATTAGCGTTTTAGTGTTTTAGTACGGGAGGGGGGTTGGGGAGGGTTTGGGGGGCAATACCGGACCGGGTTATCTTAGTAGAAATAAAGTACAAAGGAAATTGCGCAGGCAAGATAGCGGCACTTCCATTTCTCTTGTAGATTTTTTCAGTCTTGCCGACAATTCATTTTGCCACTCGCAAATTGCGGCATAGGCGCGCGATGCTGCCCTTTCCAATCAGTCGTTTTCTCGCCCTTTCTTCGAGGGTCTGTTTAATCCGCCAGCCCCACTTTTGCGGAAGCCGTCATCCGCCAGCCAGCAGCATTAGGCCTGCCGAAACCTTTGCCGGCGTGCGATGCCAACCTAACTGTGCAAAAGGGAAAAAGAAGCCTGGCGGGAGGGGGGGGGGGGGATTCGACTCTTAAGTAATACATTTGGCTATGAATATCGAAGAGTTCCTTTCGGAGACAATGAAATTTGAGCTCAGCGCCCTCTTCTCATCCGAAGGAGCCTCTGCGTTCTACCTGCGACTTGGCGACTTGGGACAGATGGCTCGTGCATAAAAAGAATCGAGTAATTGCGACACTGATTGCGCGAAGGCCCGTCTGCAGTTGAAGGCGCTGCTTATATACTTGAATCAGTTATTACGTACGATTGCTATCATCATGAATATTCAGAAACGTCTTGTAATATTTTTTTTGACATACTTTAAAAATGTGGAAAATCACCATAAGTTGCGTCGTATTTCCTATTGCAACAATTACTTAATTGATTTGAAGCACGAAACTTTGGGATTCTTGTAGCGTCTTTGAAAATATGTATTTCCTGAACCTGAAATCGGAAATCGTTAATAAGTAGCAGCCAGTCGATATGAGATTCACCGATGTCGTAAGTTTTTTAAAGTTTTTTTTAAGGATTCGTTCAAGACATCTTTCTGACGTACAACGATCGTCCCAAGAGAGTATTGTCTATAAATTATGACATAAAATCCCGAGAACGCTGTCAAAATGACCTGTTGTTATTTTGTTTTCGTATTTTTCTGTGAAAGCATATTTCCATGCTAAATATAAAAACAGCCTGGAGCTTAAGATATCGCATTGCCTTGGGGAGCGG